CGGCCCTCCCGGACGGTGCGAAGGAGGCGGCGGGGGCTCGACGGGCTCCCTCCCCGGCTGGAGGCGGCAGAGCAGAGACGCGGGACGGTCCCCTTCGCTCTCTCTCTGCCCGGCGCCGTCGGAGCTCCTCCTGCGTCGCCGGCTGCGGCCCTTTGGGGAAGGCGAGGGAGGAGCGGGGAGGGGTTTAAGGCCGGGCGGCCGGGGAGGGGCCGGCCCGAAGAGAGGCTGGAAGGAAGGGACCGGGTCTGCTTCTCCTGCAAGGGGGGGCGGAGGCACGGTTGCTCCGGTCCCTGCCTGGCCGACCCTCCCCTGGAAGAGTTCCCTCTAAGCTGAGTGAGTGTGAGCCAGCTCACAGTTCTTTAGCCTCCGGCGCACACCTTTTTGTCTCGGCTCAGGAAGGATGGGGCTCCGGACCAGACTAATTGATGCAGCAGCCCAATCGCTGGCTCTCCACTTTCATTCCAGCAGCTCACAAAGTAGAAGTTTTGCTTGCAAGACTCCGCAGCTTAGAGGGAGCATTGCAAGGACCAGTGTTTCCCCTCAGCTGAGTGAGTGTGAGTCAGCTCACAGTTCTTTAGCCTCCGGCTCCCACCTTTTTGTCTCCGCTCAGGAAGGATGGGGCTCCAGAGCAAACTAATCTATGCAGCAGCCAAATGGCTCGCTCACAGCTTGAATGCCAGTAGCTCCCAACGTAGAATTTTTGCTGGCAAGACCCTGCAGCTTAGAGGGAGCGTTGCTGGGAGGGGGCACCCCCTGGCCCACAGAGAAGACTGTCTGACCCACCTGCACACCATGAGCGTGGATTTGAACCTGTGTTTCCTTGACTGTCCCTCCAGCAAAGGATCTTCTCCCATCCCTCCCACCCCACCCTGTTGCTCCAGGTCCAGCTCCTGCCCCCAGCGCCTGTCATGGAAGAGACCCCAGTGTTCCCTCTAAGCTGAGTGAGTGTGAGCCAGCTCACAGTTTCTTAGCCTCCGGCTCACACCTTTTTGTCTTCACTCAGGAAGGATGGCTCCAGAGCAAACTAATCTATGCAGTAGCCGAATCGCTCGCTCACAACTTTAATGCCAGGAGCTCCCAAAGTAGGATTTTTGCTCACAACACTGCACAGCTTAGTGGGAGCATTGGAAGAGATGCCAGTGGGCAGGCCAGGGCCAGAGCCTGAGGGAGGAGGGAGGGAGGGAGGGGAGCCGGTCGGTCTCTCCCAGAACTCTGCAGTCCCAGCCCTACAACACTGGGATTCTTAGGACCTGGGCAAGGGACTCCGGCTCCAGTGCTGGCACCTGCATAGCCCCTGCCCTCTACCTCCCCCCCCCAGTTGTGCCTGCTCAGGACCCCTGCCATGCCTGAAACATGCCCCTCCCCCCAAGCAAGGGGGACCGGAAGAGCTGCCGAGGGAGGTGGTGGGCTCCCCTTGACTGGCAGCTTCCAAGAAGAGGCTGGACGGATATTTGCCAGGGATGCTTGAGGCTGGTCCTGCACTGGGCGCAGGGGGCTGGACTAGATGGCCTCTGTATAGCCCCTTCCGACGCCAGGATTCTATGAGAGGAAGCACCGCGGCTCCCAGCTGGCTCTGAGCGCCAGAAGTTCAGGGCTCCACAAAAAGCTCCACCCGGGAACGAGGGACAAGCCAGGAAGGGCCCGGGATCCCCAGAGGCAGGTGGGACGCAAGGAGCCCCGCAGGCCTGGAAAAGTGATGGTGGTGAGACAAGCACAGGGAGGGCCCTTGGCTCAGTGGCGGAGCACCTGCTTGGCCTCTCATAAGAACATAAGAGAAGCCAGTGCTGGATCAGGCCAATGGCCCCTCCAGTCCAACACTCTGTGTCACGCAGCGGCCAAAAACACCAGGTGCCACCAGGAGGTCCAGCAGTGGGGCCAGGACGCTAGAAGCCCTCCCACTGTTGCCCCCCCAAGCACCAAGAAGACAGAGCATCACCTGCCCCAGACTGAGAGTTCCTCTCTATACCTTGTGGCTAATAGCCATTGATGGACCTCTGCTCCAGATGCTTATCCAATTCGCTCTTATAAGAGCATTAGCGAAGCCAGTGATGGATCGGGCCAGGGGCCCATCCTGTCGAACACTCTGTGTCACACAGTGGCCAAAAAGTACCAGGTGCCCTCAGGAGGTCCAGCAGTGGGGCCAGGAGGACACTAGGAGCCCTCCCACTGTTGCCCCCCCCAGCACCAAGAAGACAGAGCATCCCTTGCCCCAGACTGAGAGTTCCTGTCTATACCTTGTGGCTAAGAGCTGCTGAGCTATTGGCACCCCTCTCCAGAGGGCCCAGGGTCCTTCTGAAATGCACAACCCCCCCCCCCCGGAAGCTGCCTGCCCCTGACTCAGACCCCTCTTGGCCCATATGCAAGCCAGTGTTGCCTACCCAGACCGGCAGCTGCTCTCCAGGGTCTCCGGCCTTTCCCGTCCCCTCCTGCTTGGGTCTTTTCACTGGAGATGCCGCCAGGGATTTGGATCGGAGACGCCTGGGGAGAGGGGACTGGAGAAGCCACCCCCTGCTGCACTGCCACTGCCCGGACCTGAAGGAGGCCTGGGGGGGGGGGAGTGCCATCTGGGGAAAGCCACACATACCCCACCAGGACACAGGGAGCCCACGGGGGGGGGGGCAAAGCGGTGGAGCCTCTGCTCGGCATGCAGGAGGTCCCAGGTTCAAGCCCCGGCATTTTCCCTTTAAGAGGACCAGGCAGTGGGTGATGTGAAAGACCTCTGTCTGCTGGAGACCCTCGGGAGCTGCTCCCAGTCTGAGCAGACACTGCTGACCAACGCTCCCTGCAAGCTGCGGGGCCTTGTGAGCAAAAATCCTACTTTGTGAGCTCCTGGCAATAAAGTGGTGAGTGAGCGATCTGGCTGCTGCATAACTTACGTTTGCTCTGGAGCCCTCCTTCCTGAGCTAAGACAAAAAATGTGTGAGCTGGAGGCTAAAAAACTGTGAGCTAGCTCACACTCCCTCAGCTGAGAGGGAACACCGCTACTGACCCTGATGGACGATGGCCTGATTCAAGGTAAAGCCGCTCTGTGTGCTCAGGGTGATATGCCTCTTGCGGTTCAGCCTCCACAGAATAGACAGTTCTGTGGCTGACAGACCAAGGGCTTGGCGCTGGGGGAGGCAGCGCCATGCATTCACGGCTTCAGGGCACAAGGAACAGCGGCACCTTCTGTTCTGGGGCAGGGGGGTGGGTTGCTTGTTTCCTTCTGCATGATCTCAGTGGACAAGAGGTGCCTGGGAAGCATCACCCCCACGTGCCCTTGGGCCAGTGTGACCTTCGGAAGCATCACAGTGCTGCAGAGTAGTTGCACGGGACAAGGTCATGTGTGGCACGCTGCGGGGACGGGGAAGGCAGACATCCGCAGGGGAGGATTTAGGAGCGATGGTATTCATCACTATCCTGCCTTGTTGCTGGAGAAGCAAGCTAGTTCCGCTGCAAACAGAATTGCTCTCTTCCATCTTCAGGCAGCCCAGGAGGCGGTCCCCTACGGATGACTCAGCCAATTTGGCCGTACAGTCCAAGCCACAGGCTAGACTACTGCAATTACTACACACACCATACTTCATTGCCCCCTCTATAGGGATATCCGATCTCGTTTTATTACTCCACTTCTAGAGGGTAAGAGCTGGCGTTCTGAGTCTCAATTATTCACTTTCTTCTGTTCCATTCTGATTGCGAAATAACGGAGGCTGTTGCAGAATTTTTATATTATGCAATCAGAAGACGAGGCTTGAATAGCCAAGTGTAAGTGACTGATGCATCTTAGTATTTTCCCATATTTCCATGATGTTTTGTGCTTTCATGCCAATAAAGGGTGTGTGTGTGTGTGTGTGTGTGTGTGAGAGTGACTACTGCAATGTACTCTACATGGGTCTACCCTTGATGGCTGACCAGAAACTCTGGCTAGACCATCACGGCTTGATTCCTATCAGGAACTAGGAGCAGAAGGCTCACTACACACCTGTTCTGCAGTTACTCCATTGGTTACCGGTGCAATACCCCATCTGCAGGACCACCTTTCCCGCTGTGTTCTACCATGATAGCTTCTGCTCACCTCAGCAAAGAGTCCCGAAGGTAGGGCCCAGCAAATGGGTCACAACGGCAGCTGCCGGCTCCTTCGCATTCTCCATCGTGGCTCCCACTTGGTGGAATGCCCAGCCCGAGGAGGCCAGGGAGGGCCCCCCTCCCCCACGTTCCTATCATTCCACAATGTGTGGAAAACTGAACTGTTCAGGCAGCCTTTAAAAATAATAAAAGAAACGGGGTTGTCATTTTCAGATCTGAAAATTTCAGGCAATTTCCATTGCCTTGCTAACTGTGTGTATTCTAGATTCAGGCGGGTAGCCGTGTTGGTCTGGAGCAACGGAACAAAGTTTGGGTCCAGTTGGGCACCTTTAAAACCCACAAAGTTTTATTCTGCATATCAGCTTTCATGTGCAAAGCACACTTCTTCAGATAAAGCTTAGACCCAGAGTTAAACTTTGTGGGTCTTAAAGGTTCCGCTGGACTCAAACTTTGTTCTGTGTATTCTTCTGTTTGGTGTCGTGGTTAAGTGCATTGACTCTAATCTGTGAGAACCGGGTTTGATTCCTCACTCCTCCACTTGCAGCTGCTGGATGACCTTGGGCAAGCCATAGTTCTGATAAGAGCTGTCCTTGAAAAAGAGCCGTTTCTGTCAGAGCTCTCTCAGCCCCACCTGCCTCACAGGAGGGTGTCTGTTGTGGGGAGGGGAAGGGAAAGGGAGTTTGTGAGCAGCTCTGAGACTCCTTCAGGTAGTGAAGGGCCTTGGGGTATAAATCCAATCCCCTCCCCCTCTTCTTCTTCTTCTTCTGGGGTTTTCCTGTATGTGTTATACTGTTGTGCGGTTCTCAGATTCTGCGTTCCAGTTTTAATGTATTGTTTGCCTGTATGATACTCCCTATATTTCTTTGCTTTGAAACGGTGCCATCATGCACCTTGAGTCCCCCCTGAGAAAAGCAGACTCCGCACACAAAGTGAGACAGTCACCCAATATCCAGAGCGGTGGCAGCGCGGTGGAAGCCTTTGCCCCTCTGCCCGCTTGCCTGTCCGTGTGGGGCGGCCATCCGGATCCCATTGGAAGGGGAGGGGGTCTGGCCCTCAGCAGGCCTGGGGGGTTACTCATGAATCCCTTGCTGCCCGGCACAGAGCCTTCGGCCTGCTGGGGAAAGCTCACCCTTCGGGACCCTGGAAGATACCGCCTTTCCCGGGGGTGGTCCCAGGGCCCAAGAGAGAGCCACGTGCTTTGCGGGAAATGCAGAGAGAAAGAAACGGCTCTGCATCCCGCGCCGCACCCTGTTAGGGGCATTGTTCTTCTCCTGTCTTGCAGCCTGAGACGGAGGCACCCGGGGAAGGCATGTCCCTTCTTGCAGCCTGGGAAGGCAGGAGGGCAGGCAGGAAGAAGTCCACACAAGGGCTGGGCGAGGGAGCGGGGCCGGCAGCGGAGGACTCAAGGAAACCAGAGGGGGACCTTCCCGTGCCTGCCCCTGACACCAGTGGGGGATGGAGCGGGATGGTTGCCAGCTCCAGGTTGGGAAATTCCTGGAGGTTTGGGGATGGCGCCTTGGGGAGGACAGGGACCCCTCCGTGCCGGGGCGCAGTGCCACAGGGAGTCCCTCCCTCAAAGCAGCCATTTCCTCCGGGGGGGGGGGCCTGGTCTCTGTAGTCTGAAGAGGAGCTGGGATTCCGGGGGATCCCCAGGCCCCACCTGGAGGCTGGCACCCCTAGTCAGAGGCGAAGCTCCCCGGCGTGTAGGACCGAGCCCCCAGTCTTGACTCTTGGACTGCTCTGCTCCATGTGTGTTCCTGGCTAATCTCCCACGGCCCCAAACAGCTAATTGTTTTCCTTAACGGGAGGTTTCGCGGCTTGAGGGCCGTTGAACTGGGTCGGCCTCCTGGCTCTGCTCATTCTGAATCTATGGAGATGGCCGACCTTCCCAGACCAACCAGACAGTGGCTCCCCCCCCCCAGCCCTTCTTATTGAAACTAGGGTGACCCAGGGGTGGGGGGGGGGAGGTACTGCATGAAGAGTCATCGAGGAGCAGGACGGGCTGATGCCCGATCTGGAAGAACAGGGACTCTGGTGGGCCCTTGAACAGTCCCGTTCCGGCCTCGGCCACCACAGATGTACACTCACGTCGGCAGAACCATGGTGGGTGCCGACGAGGATAAGTGCCGAGTTTTACATCTGGGTAACAGAAATGAGGAACACACATACTGGATGGGGGATATGCTTATGGGCAGCAGTGTGTGGGAAAAAGATCTTGGGGTAAGGGTGGACCACAAGTTACATATGAGCAGCCAGTGTGATGCAGCGACAAAAAAGGCGAACGCGATCTTGGGGGGGGGGTGTATCAACAGAGATTTGAGGTACCACAAGAATTGTTTTGTGTCTGTTCGAACCAGTCAGCCACAGGGGCTCCTGGGAGACTGAAGGGTTCTCTGAAGGCCTTCTGAATGTTGCAGGAAGACAGGCTGTTTACATGGAGCGATTCTTGGCTGGGAGGCAAGACCTGGAATAAGTCAACTTCTGACCTCTCTTCAGTCCGAAGACGGGTGCCTCCACTGATTGGACACGGGAGAGACTTCTTCACCCCCCACCCGCCTTCTGGTTTCGTGACTAATGCATTGCTTTGAACCGGCTCAAAGTGAGTTTTCGTTTTCCATGTGCCTGTTTCAAGTAATTCACCCCCACGCACTCACACATCACAAGTGGGCTACAACTCCATAACAACCTGATGACGCATCGCCAAGGGCAAGCTTTCCAGTTCCCCAGAACTCTTCAACAGGCCAAAGGTTACACCATATAAAGAGGGGGGAAGCTGACGTTAAGCATGTTTCTGAGCTCTCGATGTACCGACTTCCCTGAGCCAAGATATGGAGGATACGCTGGCAGACAACAAAGGTTACCCTGCCGAGTCGCCATGAAAGTGAGAGACAATGTGTTGCTGGACTAAGGCTGCACTGAGCCCCAGTCCTCTGCAAAACATCTTCTAAACCTCCGAGAGAGCCAGTTTGGTGGAGTGGTTAAGTGTGCAGACTCTAATCTGGGAGAGCTGGGTTTGATTCCCCCACTCCTCCTCCACTCGCACCTGGCTGGATGACCTTGGGCAAGCCATAGTTCTGGTAAGAGCTGTCCTTGAAAAAGAGCCGTTTCTGTCAGAGCTTTCTCGGCCCCACCTACCTCACAGGGTGTCTATTGTGGGGAGGGGAAGGGAAAGGAGTCTGTAAGCCGCTCTGAGACTCTGAGTGAAGGGGAGGGGTTCCAATCTCCTCCTCCTCCTTTTCTTCTTCTTCTTCTTCTTCTTCTTCTTCTTCTTCTTCTTCTTCTTCTTCTTCTTCTTCTTCTTCTTCTTCTTCTTCTTCTTCTTCTTCTATAGTTTGGTGCCAGTTTGGTGTAGTGGTTAAGTGCGTGGACTCTAATCTGGGAGAACCGGGTTTGATTCCCCACTCCTCCACTCGCACTTGGCTGGATGACCTTGGGCAAGCCATAGTTCCGTCAGAGCTGTCCTTGAAAAAGAGCAGTTTCTGTCAAGAGCTCTCTCAGCCCCGCCTACCTCACAGGGTGTCTGTCTGTTGTGGGGAGGGGAAGGGAAAGGAGTTTGTAAGCTGCTCTGAGACTCCTTTGGGTAGTGAAGGGCGGGGTATAAATCCATTATCATCCTCTTCTTCTTCTTGAGAGCCAGTTTGGTGCCGTGGTTAAGTGCGGGACTCTAATCTGGGAGAACTGGGTTTGATTCCCCACTCCTCCACTTGCACCTGGCTGGATGACCTTGGGCAAGCCATAGTTCCGTCAGAGCTGTCCTTGAAAAAGAGCAGTTTCTGTCAAGAGCTCTCTCAGCCCCGCCTACCTCACAGGGTGTCTGTCTGTTGTGGGGAGGGGAAGGGAAAGGAGTTTGTAAGCTGCTCTGAGACTCCTTTGGGTAGTGAAGGGCGGGGTATAAATCCATTATCATCCTCTTCTTCTTCTTGAGAGCCAGTTTGGTGCCGTGGTTAAGTGCGGGACTCTAATCTGGGAGAACTGGGTTTGATTCCCCACTCCTCCACTTGCACCTGGCTGGATGACCTTGGGCAAGCCATAGTTCCGTCAGAGCTGTCCTTGAAAAAGAGCAGTTTCTGTCAGAGCTCTCTCAGCCCCACTGACCTCACAGGGTATCTGTGGTGGGGAGGGGGAGGGAAAGGAGTTTGTAAGCTGCTCTGAGACTCCTTTGGGTAGTGAAGGGCCATCGGGTATAAATCCAATCCCCTCCTCTTCTTCTTCACCTGTGATACTTTAATTTCAATAGCAATTAGCCTCTGTTGTTGAATCCAGGGTTCTGTTTCCCAGGAGGCTTCAGGACTCCGCGAAGTGCTGTGGCCATCGGGTACAGATAACTCTGCACATGACTTTTCACCTCACGTGACTTTTGCCTTCTGGGAATGTTTATACACTGTCAGATTCTAAACAGAGAGAGTCTTGGAGCTTCCTGGGACTCTCTGAGTCAGCCTATACTTAACTTTCCTTCACTTTCCTGACCCCAAAGATAGAAAGAAAGGGCTGAGCTTCGCCGTGGAGGTCACAGATGGATGTCAAACTGACTGACAGTTACCTTAGCTTCTGTGGGGGGGGGGGAAGAGTACTTAATGTCTGAATTTAGTCTTGTTCCTTGTTGATCTGGCCAACCACCCTTCCGTTATGGGTCTAGGCAGACCAACCAAGGATCTCCTTTATAGAATCGCAAGTGCACTCCTTTATGTATTTTATTCATTTCTTTATTTATTTTAGTTGACTTCTGTCCTGCCCTCCCCGCATGGCAGGCTCAGGGTGGGTTACATCAGATTTAATAAAAATACAGTATATAAAATACAAAGGAATTGGTAAAAATACAATTAAAACACTAATCAGTTACAGCTATATCCTTCAGCCGGTGCAGTTGTCCTTAGAATGAGGTCTCACAGATGCCATCTCTGGGAAGCAATTCTGACCCACTGAGGGGAGGCCCAGGAAAGAGGGAGGGACGTCCGTCACTCTAGTTAGAAGCC